AAGCTTGGTGCGCCTTGGTAAAGCGCCACATGATGCGGGACATCAGGCCAGTCAGTTCCTGGGAAGGCCGAGTTCACACAAATAGTAGGGAAAACGGGTTAGTTGTGTACGGGACGTAGGAGAGCGTTGCGCGCCGACCAGAAGATTTTGGTAGGCTCGTTTTTGAGTCGTTTACCGTTGACTCGGGGTCGACGTCCATTATCCGCTCGCGGACGCCACGGAACAGGTCCGCGCCGGTCATTGGGTTGTTCGTGGATGCTTCCTCTTCCATGAGAGGGATGAGGAATTCGGCGATAGCGTTGCGGATCTCTGCGTGTAGTGCCGACCTCGCCGAGACGAATATGGCTGTGGCAGTGGATGCAGAGAGGACGAAACAGCACATGAGTCATTTGAGTCTACCTCACAACGTTCAACAGTGAAGGCAGACGAAGCGCGACAACGTACATACAGACGAAGGGACGGAATGACACGACCACATAAAGCGCGGGAAATTTCCAGGACATCGCGGACAGACGGAAACGTGGCTCTGTGAGAGGCCGAGAGAGCAAGACCTTCTCTGTAAATAGAGTTACTATTGTAGTATCAATGTCGGGATTTCGCCGCTGGGTTAGGGTTGTATGACAGTGGAGTTGCGCACGTGAAGAACAAATATTGAACGGTCTGCAAACAAACGCCAGAATGCGTTACCATGCAGCGACAGGATTGCTGAACCTCAGGGTAGTACACCAACAACTACGGAAACCAGGATCACCGGGGAAGGTGTTCAGGTTTTGCCTCGCTCCCGGCCACGCGTGAGAACCCAACGCGAGGAAAGGGTTTGTCAGAGCGTTGGTGGGCCCCCCGCCGGAAAATTTCATCCTGGCGGGGCCGACGAAACCATAGGCGTAAACACTCATGACGTTCGCAGCGACCCCGCGGGCAGTCTTCTCGTCGGAGCCCACTGTCTTCTTGGAGGACTCGCCGCCGAGCATGTTGGCCTGTGTTCGAGCAAAGACAGCAAGCGAATGTCTCCTGATGTAGTAAGGCGGCGCGCACACTATATAGTACATGGGCGAGAAACCACAGGAACATGGACGATAGAAAATGTGGTCATCGCGTACAGGCAGGAAGTGTTTGCGCGTGAAGTTTGGGTGGCAAGGTTTCGTAAAATAACATATGGACTGGTGCGAGTAACGCGGACGCCGCCCGTGGGCACAGGGCAACCAGCCCCAGAAGCCGTACACACCTATTAATTAGCGAAGAGGAACATCAAATGCGAGATAAAATGGCGAAATGACAAATCGGGGGTTGAAATCGGCAAAAAAAAACGAAGAGAAAACAGGAAGAACCTCACTCAGAAATAAAGACGCAGAGCCCATGCCTCCTGCTCTCAACCCGATGCCAACGCCACGCAACGATAAAACAGTTACCTCATCCTAGACCACTGCAACTAGGCTCGCGGCCGAAGTCCAAGCATTCCCCACAGATACACAAACAAAAAAAACAGTGGGTGGTGATTCTAAGATCAGTCCACCAGCGCGTGCATGCTCCACTTCCACTCGAACAAGAAAAAAAAAACAAGAAAAAGACAATACGTTTTACTACCCTTCTTCTCATGATAAAAGAAACCACTCACCACGTCGGGGCTGATGAGCTGCAGCAAAAGGCCCAACAGCGCGGTCTTCGCCGCCTTGGGCACCAGCGCAGTGTCAAGCGCGTCGAAGAGGTTTCGTCCGGACATCTCCATGTTGATGGTTGATACCCCGCCAATGCCCGTCTCGTGGCACTCCTCCCTGTGGTGGCGCTCTTGAACAGAGCGCTTACCCAGGGTGCGGAAGGTCGTGGGGCTCGCCCCGGTCGAAGTGGAACCACCGCCCGTGGGACCACCGGACCTGGTACCGCCACTGTGTGATGTACCAGAAGCTGAACTCTCGTTGCCGTTGATGCCAGTCGACACACGTCTGGATTTAGCCTGGTGTCTTGCTGCGCTCTAATCCGATGACACACCACTGGTTGACCCGCCACCTTCCGAAGAACCAGCGCCAGGCCACCCCAAGGGGGCACCGCCCGAGGCACTGCCAGAGCCGCGGCCGCCGAGTAGACCGGATTGACGACCGCCGCCGCCCACGGATGACGCGCGGCCGCGACCGTCCGAAGCACCAGCGCCAGGCCTGCCGGATGCGCCACCGCCCGAGGCCCTGCTGTGTCCGCGGCCGGCTAGAAGACTGGGTTGACCAGTGCGGCCGCCGACGGATGATGGGCGGCCGCGTGCGGACGAGGCTCCGCGGCCAGGGCCACCGGTGGAATTGCGGCGAGCAAAATCGGACCGGCGGACACCTCCTCCGCCGATCGCCGAGCGCGGGACGCGAACGTCAAGGGTTGTGCGCATGGGCGCGATGTTGGACGACCGGAGAAGATTCTGGCTCTCCTCGTCGTCACTGCCGATCTCGTCCGGGTCCAGGGTGTACGAGGAGTCAGAGTGTTCGGCCTCCTCCTCGTCGGGCTCCTCCTCGTCGGGCTCCTCATCGTCGGGCTCCTCCTCGTCGGGTTCCTCTTCTTCGGGTTCCTCCTCTTCGGGCTCCGGCTGGGGTGGTTCTTCATACGTGGCCTGTCATGACCGGATGCGAGCGATAAGGATAGGGCGCATGTAGGTTTGGATATTCGAAAGCCTTTGTACAGAGAAGGATACGGGAAACTTGACAGGTCCGGGTCTACTTTTCTTCGCTGCGTTCTAATTTGCCATTTAAAAAACATGGGTTAGGGTAGTCAAGAGTCGGGAGGGGCGGTGGTTTCCTGATAGGTCGAGGTCGGTGTTTGGCTGCATTTAGTTGTATACGGTTGTCGTCGTTTTGGGGCAAAATATTCGAAGAAGGGTACCGCAGGCACACATATCACTGGCCGGTTCAGCAGTACACAGAGCACACACAAGAGTAGAAGGGGCTTGTGGGGCATGGAGGCAACATGTCCGCGCCGTTGGCTGCTGATACCGCCGCTGCCTCCAGATCACGGCGCAGCGGCGCAGCAACAGTGGAAAATAAGAGCAGCTAGCTGCCTAAAAGGAGCGGCAACTTTGATGGCGATCGCCAGAACCTATCCATCGCGCAACGCCAACAGAGGGTGGCATGCTGGGGCGGTACGCACGCAGTTCACCAATTTTACTAAACTACCGGGTGTTTACGTTCGCTGCTTGTGTGGTGTGGGTGGTGTGGCTGCCCCTACGTTGAGAGGAAGAGAAGGATACTATTTTGTCGTTCGCTGCGACTCGACGGACGTCGTACAACAGAACCAAGCATCCCATTACATTTCTGCACACATGACCAAGCGCAGCTATAGTTTGTGGTGGCGACGTAGGGAAGGACTGCACACGTGAACGCAAGAAACTTTCTGTTCTCCCGTTGGCAACAATAGACGGCGAAGTCGAACAGCAGGGGTAGGAGGGACCTAGCTACATTAAAGCAAGCGCGGGCGTAATTGCAGCACCGCACCCCTCCCTATGTTTGCTGCTCCAATCAACACTCGTGTGGCTACCTTCGACTGCTGCTGGCCTCCATTGCCAATTGCAAAGGGATGTAGGCTAGGAAAATGATTGTATGGTCATGCAAGTAACATGTTGCTCAAGGTGCTGACGTCTGTACGCGTGATTTTTAAAAAATAGCACTGGGAGGAGAAAGGGACGCGTGGTCAATGGTCAAATGACTACGGCAAGCAACAAATGAGTACGCCCCCCCCCCCCCCCCCCCCCCCCAAATCTATATCGATTAAAGAGAAAAAAATACACCCCCATAAAAACTATCCCTTCGAAATATACCCCCAGTGGAACGGGATGTGGCGGAATCTTTTCCGTGAGCGGAGGAAAACCGGCTGGGTACTTAAATTATTTCCAGTATTTTTAAGTCTATACACTGATGATTGATGTCAGTGATGCCCGCTGGGGCTAAATACAAAAACATCTGTACAGGTAAACCTACATTTTACAATACATCCCCTGTAGTTCTCTACTGGGTCAACGACATATCGATCAACGTGCGGATGGCGCCCACAGCAAGATATGCTAGACCCCTTACCCATTGTTCGTGTATTGTGGCACACACCATGTTCACAACAGGGCCCTTCGACCGAAAAGGGGTAGGCTCACCATATACAACACAACTACAGTACCTCACATTTGGCACACCCACAACAACGCCCACACCCTTTGTAACTCTCGCCCTCTACAAAGGGTCCGGACAGTCATACCCTCAACGGAGGCCGGCGTGGGCGAACGCCGGGAAGGAAACACTCCGTACTTGTACGTAAATAGTTGTATCCACGTGCCTCTAGCGTATTGGGAATGCTGCTGTATGGACGATGATCTATGGGCTCCACCGCATCGATATCAATTTAGCAACGCATGCCCACTACCGTTTGTTGGCTGCCGTACTCGCTGCAACCTGGGCGTCAAAAAGCGACGCGCCCGTGTAGGCGGTTATCGAGATGCGTACGGCCATGTTACGGTCATGTTCTCGTACAGACGTAAATCATGTCGAATTTAAACAACACACGCTTTGTTCGGGAAAGTTGTGTAGATTGGAAGGAAGCACAAAAGAAGGCAAGCAAAGAACCTACATGCTTACCGTGGATGGACACGTCGTGTGTAGAGCCTTCTTCTTGCGGGTCGCCGACCTGGGCCGCCCCTCTCCCTTCGACTTGGCGGCCGGCGTCTTCTGGGATGGCTTCCTGGACGAAGCAGTCCTCCCGCGCGTTTGGTGGTGGTTCAGGTTCACCTCTCCGAGTGGAGTTACGGAGGTCGTGCGGTGGACAGCGCGGAGAGGCATCGCAGCAGATGGGGATAGGTTGGGTTGCCGTACACAGGAGAGGGGGAGCAGATGAGGGTAGATGGGTTGTGACAGTGTGGGGCGGGCGTGATGGTGGCGGTGATGTGCGATGAGCGTGAAAAAATATTTAAAAAAAGGAGAGGAAAGCGCAGACGCGTGACTTCAACAAGTTAACCGCCCAATCGAAATACTCGGCAATCTGACACCTCACCTCAGAGCCACCCATTGCGGTTGCCCGTCCAATCCTGGTTGCCGGCTGGCTTCAACCAAGAGGTCACGCAGGCATACGCCGATGGTGTCAAACCGAGATGTGCGCGCCAAAATGCCACAATGCGTGACACGGGGCACCGCAGCATAAACAGTTCGAATACTCGAAGCCCCCCCTATCCAGCGCTGAAAATTTTGATTATCCGGGGGTAGTGGGGGGGCATCCTCGCTTGCGCCTACACAGTAGACGGGGCACACAACGCAGCGCCGCTGTCTAGCATGAGGGCGGGGGGAGGGTCACTAGGGGGGCTCGTTGCCCCGGGATCAGGGTGCTGCTGCAAATGTAACATCAGATGGAGGAGAAGGGCGGATGCCGGCCGTTGTGCTGGTAGCAGGGACCCCGTCGGCCTGTTGGGGGGGCTCGGGTCCAATAGAGCCAGTGTCGCAACTACAATCGACAATGCCAATGCGCCCAGTAATGTAGACCCTGCGTCTTCCCCAGTTGCACCCGGTGGGGGTGCACCTTCGACCGACGACCAAGGTATGTTGGTGTATTTCATGTACGGTATACCCTCGATGTACTGCTGCTGTGACAATCTGATAACAATGCCATATGTGTTGGGCGTGGAGAAAATAGTGTACATCAGCGTCGCGTAGCAAACCCGCGTTGACGTATTCGTCCGTGTTGTAGCAGACTACACTCGATGGAGTCAAGGAGAGACAAAAATCGTAACCCTATTCAGCTGTAGCAACCTGAGAAAGACTCCCCACGCGTTTGGGCAATTTTATTTGTTCATTCGGATAGAGAGGACCCCAATGTAGGGTACGGCTGCAAGCGTATAGACTTGTAGGTCAAGCAGGTACTACTTTGTGTGTTACGTCTTCTCGCCTTGTTCTCCGGAAGCAGGACTCTGTCACCCAACCCCTGTGTCGATGCGTGGTCGACCTTTCTTCGCAGAGTGCTCCGAGGTGGAAGCCTAATTTAGGGATCTCATGATAATCCTTTTGTCCAAATTTCGTGGCATACGCCTATGCCTTAAGGATTGTAAATGCTTACCACGACATCAAACACCGAAGGAAGTGGGTTCGTTTGGAAGCACGAAAACACACCATGCACTCACACTGATATTGGGTCTCCGCGCGGAGCTGCTACTCCAGCCGCTCACTGGAGCCCTCAGTTGACCCCCTCACGACTTGTATCGAAGTTTCAATCCAGCGTCTCCACAGAGATACGGACACACACCCGCTCTCGGGTTGGCTAGGTACTTGTACTTTGGGCGATGCCTGGGAAGAAGCACCATGAGCACTAGACCACTAGTCAGCCGCAACTAGTGGTCTAGTGCTCATGGTGCTTCTTAACAATGCCATCGCACATGCGCTTGTCCGCAACTGCCCTCCCTTCTGAGACAGACGTCTTTTCTGGTTACCGTGAGACGCGGGAAGGTGGCACCCTCCCTAGGGTGACATTGAAGGCTTGATTCCCCCCCAACCAAGCTGTGCCAACACCAAGAATGTTCGTTTTCGAAACATCTCGTCGCGGGTTTTTCGTCGGTGTACCCCGCACTGGGCTCTCTCCACCCGCCCTTTTGTATGTGGGGGCAAATGATCCTTCAACGTCGGTCGAGGGGGGGTGCCATCTCTCCACCTCTCCCGGTGCCCCTCCATATGACTCACTCGGGGGTCTGCTTCATGTAACTTCGAAGGCACCACGTCCGTCCATGCGAAGACAGAGAGTCCACATCCTGTGGTGTGGTGGCTGCCGTGTAAGATTCCTGCAAACTTCACAATACAATGACTTCGGCACGAGTGTACGTTTTTGTCTGAAATTTCAAATGGGTCACCTTGTTGTATGCATTCGTTTTTCTTTCAACGATCAACAACGACTAGGACTGGATATGGAGCCGTCTGCCGACGACCTAGACCACATGGAACTAGGCATGGGAGATGGGTATGAAGAAGGAGCGGGTGGGGATGGTATCGACGAGCCGGTTCAGTCTCCGGATGCGAGATCTCCTGGCGTCGCCGCGGGTGGACTTTCGGCCCTGATGGATCGTGTTGATGCACAACTAAATATAGGCCAAAACTTTCCGGATGACGAACCGAGCCTCAATAGCGTTGACCACGCCGAGTGTGATGGGGGGGGTTGTGTCGGGTGGTGCTGGTGACGACGGCGAATATGTAGGAGAGGGAGATCAATGCGGCGGAATAGACATAGATCCGACCGTTGACGACCAGCACCCACAGCACGTCAACCCTGCACCTGACACATGTGGTGGCGGAGGCGGGGGCACCCCCTCCCTGGCCGAGCTTCACACCCTTGCTCCTTCTTATGCCACGAGCTCGACGTTGGAGGGCGGTTCAGAAAACCTGAGATTCAACACGAAGGCGACCGGATCTTCATTCTACCCATTCAGTACGAAAGAACAACAGCATATTTATGTTTGGCAGTATACACACCAAATTTCGCAAAAGGCATTGGGAGGGCTGCTCGACATACTGCTGGTGGAGGACGAGGGGTACGGTTTCGACGTAGGAGGGTTGAAAGGTGTTGACGCCGCGCACTTTAGCAACCGCATGCGGCAATACCTTCCTCTCCTGCAGGTTCTGGAGCGAGATGTCCCGTCAACACAGCAAGGCAAAACGTCAGCGGTGGTGTATGACGTACCTGTCAACCTGCTACTAGATGGCGACATGAAGCTAGCCTCCGAAACGGCACTCTCCGAAGCATACCCTGCCGGAAAGCTTTTGCGCGAAGAGGAGGCCGCCATGAACTCGTTAACCAGCGATCATGTCAACTGCGTACCGACCAAGCAGGTCGGCAACGTCAGGGAGACAAACATGAACGGCACGCTATCGAGGACGTCTCCCTTCATGGGAATCGATGGAATCAAGGGCAGCGTCTGTGGGAGAAAGTCTTTCATTCACGATGTCTGCATCTGCGCAGTCGGGGGCACCCCGACAGTGTGTCGTCTACTCGAGCTTTTCTAGGACGTTGAAAGCCGCCAAGTTGTTGCTACCGTGCGAATGTTTCGGTCAGCTGCGGAGGTCAGACATGTGGGAGAAACGGAAACGCGAGGAGGTCTGCTGAGAACCTGGGAAGACTGTACTGTCGGAGGCGAACTGCTGTTGGAGGTTGACGACGTGCTCGGCCTGGCGGAGATTTATACTGTGGACGAGATGGACGCCGACAAGCACGACGGGGAATGGGATCAAGGCGCGAGGTGCGATATGTGGGATCGCTTTCTGGGGGAAGGGTTTGTGGTGCAGGCCGGGAAAAAGCGACAACGCGCCGGAGATGACCCGGTACAGCAGTTCGAGGTGACCCATGCGCCGTGGTGCAAGGAAGGAACCCCGGATAACCCACTGTTCGTGTTGAGGAGAGAAGGCTTCCACCTCAACAACGAGAACCTCGCGTTTTTTTTAACGCCCGTCACCTTTTACAACGACGCCTTCAACTGCTTTGGAATGGGAAACAAGGTCAGAATGTCAGATAGTTTTTTAGGGAGCTGAGTTACTACACATGGGGCGAAAGCAACGCCCTCTGTGCTAGTGTGTCTGTTTTTCTGTTATCTGTCTCTTTTTCATCTTTATCCTGTCCCCGCCACCCACGTTCGTGGCGTTATGGCTGACGCCTCCTGTTCGGTATCCTCCCTGTGCCCATCAGCAGCTAGTCTACAGGAAGCACCCGATCGACACGTGCACTCGCCCGTTTAGAACCTGATTGTAGTGTGACCGTCTCGCCCTAACGTTCGAGCACTCTTTCACCCACCACGTATGTTGTTCTACCACGTACAATCCTTTGTAATTAAGGGCAGCATTCCGTGGGTGGCGGGTATTTTGGGTGGCCGTGGAGAACCCAAGCTGTGCAGCGACTGAAGCGACAGACACACGTCGGCACCCTTGCGAGCACCGGAGCTTGTTGCCAAGGAGAGATCGGATTGCAGTGTGAAATCCTTGGATTGCTACAGCAGGGGTGTTTGGGCGAATGCATGCTCACAGAGGATGATGGGACAACCTATTTGCAAGAGGTATGTCGTGCCAAAGTCTTGCCAGTGACAGAAGGGAGTAGCTCAATATATGTAAAAGCTCTTGCCCTTCCGACGTTACATGTATGCCGCAGGGGTTGTGGAGGGATGACGGTTCTAAGCGCCATACACCCTACATCATGCGGTTTGATTTTTATTGTGGCATCCACCACATTATTCGCCGAAAGCGACGAAGTCACCTAGACTAATGTTCGTAGTACGTCCTCCACGAGCACCCCCCTCCGTCGTCTCGAAATTTTGATTAGACGACTCGAACATTGAATAGCGCGGTAACGTCGTTATCGATCAATTCCCAGTGGAAATATATAAACGCGGCGAAGCTTTTGGCCGCAGTGGACGTTTTCTAAAAAGAAATACAAGGCGGCATTGGCACTGAGTCCCCCGGGGGGATTAAATGAGCGGACGTTCCGGAGACTGGCTTCTGCAACAATGTTGTATGCGCCCCAGATGATAGCGTTCAATTTAAGTTTTACGGGAGGGTCATGCCGCGACTTAATGGCTGGTAGTTTACAAGGGCTGCCGCGTCAAAGCGAACGTTTAAGCGATTTCCGTGTGACGCACGTGAAGTGCGGGGTGTATACCCGAGCAGCTTGGCAGCCTCCGAAACACGTGTGCATGTATACAGTCAGTTGCTCATGCTTCTCAGGTACTCCAGCATCATGCGTGCCACAATATCTCGAACCTAGCAGGTGTTTGTTCGGGGCGGATTGCTCATGTGGTGTGGGGACGGGCCGGGGCGGGCTAAGAACCTCGGTTCCAAGGCATGCAACCACTTCTCGAGGTTCCCGTGTCCCTACTGCATGGTTGAGCAACGCGACGACGCCTTCGGGGGAGATCTGGGGGATGCCCAGTATGATCTCGATGCCAATCGACGTACCTGGGGGGGGATCACCGAGGGTTTTGCTACGCTGCAGTCCCTATCGGATGACCCCAGCGAACAGTCTCGGCGCTCGATGGAACTGGGTCTGGTTGCACCGGATGGTACCGGCCTCCCCCTACCTCTCTACGACGCCATGCTCATCGTACCGACTGAGGCTGTTCCGGTGGAACGACTTCACTTCGATGCTCTGGTGATTTTTCGGAATTCAGCTCCGTCTACGATAACTGTAGTGCGGTCGGTGTATGAAATATGTATGCATTTTTTATAAAAGCGTTAAGTATTCGACGTCCACATCACCGTCGGCGAGTGGTCTTGAATCTAGCGTTGCTCTTTGAGATGTTTCCCGTGTTCGAGTACCGAATGGCGGTACAGCAATGGACCCATTCCCTCTTTCGGTGCGTTGCAATTTTGTATCCCAACCCCAACTATGCAACATGTTCGTATGACTGTTGCAGGGGTCCTGTCAGCTCTGCCAGGTGTTCCTACTGGAAATGTTGTCGACACGAGGACGGCGTCTGGTCTCCGCCGTCATGTCCCAGACTCCTTCTCTTCTGTATCCAGCTGGGACGGAGCGCCTCAAGGACATGGTGTCCAACTACTCTTCCCTCACCGGGAGCGACAAGTGGACGCTTCAGTCCATCATGCTGCTCGTGTTCCGACCGGTTTTTCAAGACTTCCGCGCCATGGTGAGGTTTACATGTACGCAGTGCGGCGCGCGTGGAGGGGGGGGGGGGGCGTATGAGACTCAACGTAGCAGTCCCAACAGTACATTTCATTGGCCATGTTCGTGATAAGGAGTACCCCTACTGAGACACGTGGAACTACAGGTACGCCTGTGTGTAGCACGACACACAGGCTGCGCATTGACCCTAAGGCGTGCCGCTCTTGCCGCCTAGGTGCACGCCTCAGCGTAGGCCAACACACACCGCCCCGCAGCTCCCACACCAAGATCGACGTGACGCCCCCAGCGATTGTTTTCCTGGATTGTTTCACGGAGCTCACCGCCTGGGTGTCGGACCCATCGTAGTAATCAAACTCGACAAAAAAAACTATTCCCCGAAGCTCCACCCACCGATGAATTTACGCCGTGTTCCTGTTGTCGGTTGTCGCAACATCGCAGAAGAAAAACATGAAGAGGCAAAACATTAACGACTTGCGAGAGATCTGGGGGACTGACGGGAAGGTTCTGGAGGTGCTACAGCAACTCGTACAGGTGGCGTCCCACCTGTCGTACGCCGTGCGTGCGCCTTCTCACAACGACCGCGAGCTATCCCAGCTCGACCTTCTCGCGCGTGACGTGGTAAGTTCATCAGACCTCTTCCTGTCACGCGTTGTGTCACCTTGCTCAACACACCAGAACAGCACATGTTTCATTGTGAAGTATTTTGCCGTGGGCAGCAAAAATGGTGCGCCTGTTATTGGGAACCGGGGGTCACCGGAGCAGGTTCGAAACCCTCCGTGTCCGTGCGGGAGGACACGTTAGCTGTAGCAAGTGCTAACGCGTTTGGGCAGAAACCGCTGAAAACGTTGTCGATTGTGGAAAGGCGTGTGCCGTTCGGGGGCTTGGTCATTGTCGGTAAGTATATGTCGGCAGTCGTATCTCCCCGGCTAGTATGCTTTTGGGTAATAGGCAGTTGTATCAGTAACAGCTTATACGCAGTGCGTCACGGCCAACGTGACTGTCGATACGGTTTGGGCGTTCCACGTGTCTCCATCACCCAAATCTGTCACTCCCCTGCTGCAGCGGGTTACATTTATTGGGAGTGTACGCCTTCTAGCGAGTTTTCGTTTGGGGCGTTTCAACACAATTTGCTACACGCGAGACAAGAAAGCCGCCTCGCCGTTTGCGGCAATTGAGTAGCAACAGGATATAAACAATACTATTTACCCGATTTGGCCAGGTCGGTTTCTATTCCAAGGTGATGGGAAGGACAGGTTCAAGGCCTACCATCCATTCCATCCTGCATACGACAGAGGCCATCCGAGCACACGGTGAGGATGGTGCCAAAGTTGGAGTCCTGTAGCCTACTTTACATGACCTGAGGATGTGGGGCTTCGTCCCGAGTAACGCGTTACAACTTCGATGCTAACAGAGTTTGGAGCAATCCTTCCTGTGGTGATACATATTATTGCTCGCTGTGTCTTGAAAACCGTGTCGACGCGGGTGGTGATATCCAAGCCAGTGGGGTGCGATCAAATCCAATGTACGACTGTCGGTGCCAACGAAATTGGTGGAGTTACAGCAAGAGGACGGTTGGTAGAAGCTAACCCTAACCAATCATATTTGGAAGGGCTACTGCTCGACCTACAGCCACCAACTGCTGTCGCAAGTGCTTTCCTCTCGGTTTAATAACCACCGTTTTACTTTTAGACAGTTGGCGATTGAAAAATCCTGTCGTGCTGTATGTGCCCTATGTTTCCTCCCAATCCTCTCCGAGACTTCAATTATTTACGTTCAACTTTCGGATTATTTCATATGAAGAGCATATTGTTGCGGAATGAAGATCGAGCAACTCCTCCACCCGACTTTAGGTATTGTTCCCGACGCAAGTCCAGGGGAATTCGCCCACCAGCAAAACAAGTCCGGCAACAAGTCCGACTGCGGCAGGAACCCACCCAAGCACTACGTTAAGCGCGCCAACGTCAACGCCGCACTGCTTGCGCTCGCCAACGGCCTGGAGTACTCAGTGACGACGTTCAACCGCAGGACCAAGGAACATGAGGTTATTTCGGTGTCACCGGGAGCCGGATGCATCCGGCTGATGAACTACCTTGCCCCTACGCTCGGTCACGACCGCGTACCCACAGACGCTCACGCGACCGCCATCCAAACACCAGCGCAGTTGAAAGGACAATTTCCGGGTTCGGCGGTCTGGTCGGCACACCTGTTCAAGGAAGACGGCGTGCCGAACGTCGACGGTTCATGGAGTGCTCGCATTTCTTCGGGAAACTTCCGCCCAGACGAGGCAGCGTTGATCCGCGGTTACCAACGGTACTTCGGATGCGGGGGGGGTGATGGGGGGTGCGACGATGTTCGGTGCCCCTACTGCTGGGATGAGTCTACTTCCCTAGAAACTACCCTGATAGAGTGCTCGAGATACATGCGCGTGCCGCAGGTAGCTAGCTGTGGCGTGGGACGTTTGAGGGGCGGCGACGCCAAGGCTGCCACGCGAGTTGGGCCGCGTGACGACTGGGCACTAGGAGAGGGGCAGGGAAACGATGTTGAAATATTCAACAAACCACCTCCGACTGGTGACGACGTTTCGCCATCCGATCCGTAGATGACTTGACAATGAGCAAGATCATCTACTTCTTCGACCATAAAGGAAACAAGAACTCCTTCAGCGGCGAGCCACGGCCGTCCACGTGGTGGGTGCTCGCGTACGACTACGTCGGGATCGGCAATGGGAACGAGCGGGTGCCCGATTCTTTCACCCGACACCCGACGTTGTCACTGCGAGGGCGGGGCCGTCCTAAGGTTTACCCGGTGCAAGCCATCAGGCAGCAGGTGCACATGTATCATCAATGCCCTCAGCACAGCGATGTTGGATCGAGTACGTCGCAAATTTGCGGAGAATCCCAGGGGCCGTACAGTGGTGGCAGGGACCGTGTCTGGCACCACAGGTTTCGGCTAGCATTGCCGGGATCACGAAACGGCTACGACAGGTACCTCCTGAACGAAGTGCACCACAGCACCAACCAAGACACGTTTGTCTGAACGCGCTCGGGCTGATTTCTTGGAGGAATGTGAGGCTTTCATATATGTAACGCGTCAGCTAACCGTAGAAAAGGAGTAGTCGCATGTGCATGTTACATAGTGTGGTTAAATAGCGGTGCATGCCAGTAGGAATAGAGGTCGTGGGACCTTCATTTCACGACGACTTCGCCCATGAACCAGTGGTGGCAGGCGCGCCCGACTGCAAGTCGTCGGATTCGGTTTATGCAATGGTATTCACGCACGCCCTTCTTGCAAGCTCGTATTTGTTAACGACAATTTAGTCGGCCACCCTGAACGGTTCCCTTCTCGTGCGTCCTTCAATTTTGCGACGCCAGGGATAATCTAAGAGATAGAGAGCGCGCCATGGACAACAGTTTCGTGGAGATTGGTCTACGCCACTGCGTGTGTGTCTGTACGCCGGTGTTCGCCAGCTACGAGAGAGGGGGGAGATGGGGATGGAAATGGAGAGAGGCTAACGACGCAACTTTCAGACCGCACTTGTGTTGAGGGTTAGCGGGATCAAGAAGAGGGGGGCGGCTACGGGTGGTGGGGCTTGGGTGCCTCGTGGAGTCTGTAGACGCGGGTTCGAGTCCGGGCAGCGCCGTCTTTTTTTTCCATCTGTTCCTTAATTTTTATTTTGTTTGCTGTTCCCGCCTTCTACCATGTTGTAAATCGGTAATTTCATATTAAACCCCGACAAAAAAAATTCATCGACTTTTTCGTGATTGTAATTTTCGCTACTTGAGCTACCTGCAGATCGCAATTTCAAGTTGTTCGTTTTTTTTCAGGCAAAAAAATGTGTTTTGAGCGGGGATCGAACTCGCGACTTCCGCGAAACATTGTCTTCGCGAGAAGTATCGCTCAGTTTACTGCTGAGGGTATATCACGAATGGGTAGTCTCCCTGTGCGTGTATTTATTTCTATTTAATTTCGTCGTCGCCATCTGAAACATACTTGTACTTCATATTTTTCGGTCCTGCAGAGGGAGAAATATTTTGTACCCAGCGACGCTTGCACTGTTTATTACCGCGTTGTCGATCGCCCGAAAGATATGCCATTTAGTTACATATTCATTTATTTGTAGACTTCCCATGCCCTATAGCAGCACGGCCGAACCCTGTTACAAGTTGTGAACGGGACTGCCACTTTCCACCAGCAGCGAGCACCATTTATCGCGTGCATCATCAAAAAAAAAAAACGGCCGTGTTCGGTATACAGCAGTAGATTGCTGGACCATCGGTATAATAATGCTGGGGCTGTACACTAGAGGCTAAACACACCTTACAAGACTAAACGTATCGTAGAAATGACTGGTACAACCCTGGTTGTGTCGACACCCTGGCAGAGGGTTCCTGCCCGTGGACCCTGTGGGGACCGATTACCTAGACAGGTGGTCACAGCGTCCGTACAGGGTCTATTTGCCTGCAGGGTTCACACAGGGGGATCCGAATGGCTACAGGTGTGCTGTAATATGTACAACATAGACTACATGCCAGCTGTGTACTGCTGTAGTTTCGAGCGACATATCTTGAACGCACGAGCTCAGCTGCCACAACAGCAGTTTTTAGACTATGCAATGACGTGAAAAATGGGGCATGCGTTGTATCGGGGCTGCAGGTGAGGCGGGGGTGTCACTAAGAAATACCACAGACAATTTCCCGCCAGTTGTACAGAACTAGCGTACAGCAGTCCTTACTTACCAGGAGAGCCTCGTGGGTGGGCACCCCCGCCAGGCAACGAACTTCTGTTGGCGACTTTCCACGGAGGATGTTGTGGTCGATCCCAACGTCCGCCGGCTGTGATGACCTGCCGTGTGCTTTCTGTTTATCCACCGCCTCCTCTAGCTCCGACTCTAGCAGGGGGATCCTTAGCCCCAAATCTCTACTTTTCTCCTTGAGTCGTGCTTCCTCCTGAGCCCCAGCTAGCAGCGCTCTCCGATGTCGGTCGTTCAAAGCTTCGAGCTTGAGACTCCTTGCCAGGGCACCACGAGAAACTTTGAGCATCTCCTCGCTCGTTTGGCTTGGCAGTGCTCCCTCCTTCACGCTAACCCTACCCTCTCGCCGGTAAGGGATTTGCTCTTCGCATCGGCTGCAAGGCTACCAGGAGGGAAGTGAGCGGCCGAAATCCTAGGGTCGCTCTTGGGGACTGGAAGGTCGTCTCGACCAAAAAGCGCTTTGCACCAGCTCTTGGACTTGCCAGCGCCTTTGGGCATCCGTATCGTCGCGTCTCCACCATCCTCCTCACAAAATATTGTTTGGCAGATGCATCTATGTTTCCCCATTGTAAGCGCTGAGGATCCCTACGGCTGCTGGGCGGAGCGTGTGTTGTGTGCTCACGTGTCACCAGGCGACAACCGACAAGAGAGAGCGGGCCTGCAGGTTGCTGGTACACCGCTTGTATCGCTCTGAAAATTCTGCGCAGAGTCCCCAAATCTCGCCGCAAAATGAGCTGCCTAAAACGAAGCAGACGCCGAGCTCTTCTTCGTGATGGGAATCTCTAGAGCATACCAAGGGGCGTAGGAGTGTTCTGCTGTCCTATCCTGGTGTTATCGTTGTTCGGTAAGTGGTGTCACGGCCTCCGCAGCGGTCAAGCCAGCGGCTTCAAGTTTTGAAAAGCCCTCCCCAATTCGTCTTGGCTTTAGAGTACCCAACTAACCCTAAGCCCCCCCCCCCCCACAGGCGTTTTGTAAAAAATGCGGGGCTATTGCAAGAAGCCTATGCCTAACAAAAACCGCGTGAACCGTCCAGAGGCATCAGCCGACGCTCAGCCCTTATCACGCCCTGTTTTTTTAGACAAATTGTAATTGTTCGATTGACACAGGGTCGTTCACACGTCGCAATATTGTAAACATGCGTTCGTTTTGAAAGCAAAAATTGACTACCGTAGGTTGCATAAGATACCACACCCCCCTTAACCGAATTTCGCACCTCTATTTTTCCCAACAAAGACAATGATATGCCAAAGTTAAACGATCCATTTCTGGAAAGTTCTGGACTGGACAGTTCCAATGCTACCATTTCCGGCACCGCCACCTCTTCTGCTGGGGAGTAAACAGGGTTTGGAAATTGGTCCAGGGGGCGTGATATCTTAAGCAACCAACTGCTGTGAGACAGCAGTGGATTCGATTCTCCTCTGCGCCATCGTTTTCTTCCACCACCCTTTTCTTCTTTTTCTTTTCCTCGGGAAATTGATGTGCACTTTGGAATAGAAATTCTGAAGCTTTAGCTTCAGTCTCATCTTTCAATATCCGTGGAACCTTTATTCGCATAGCCCAACCCCTTACCCGACCCTGTCTCAAATGCCGATCTCGAGCTACAGTGTCAATCTCGTGGCGCCCGAAGTATGGTTCGGTCGGCAATCGCAAACCACTACCCCTTCTTCCCCTCGCTGCCTCGGCAAGGTTTTGCTTAGGCATGACCTAAAGCGAGGGGGGGGGTCTTTCTAGCGAGCAGGGCTAGACTCACCCTCAAGGGACCGATACCTTCTTGCTACGGCGCACCCGCCGCGAGGCGTGCGTAGTGGTGGAGTTGGGTCGGCACTGGTGCGTCAGGTACAAAGGTGCAGATGCGCGGGCCTCGAGGCCGTCGGTGCAGGCAGCAATGCCCATCTCATCTTTGTGCGCGGAGGCAGACGCCATCAGCAAGGTGGACGGGCACTATGTACACGGCCCTATGTTTGCTAGAGGGAGCTGTACTGTCTCAGTAACCTGGTTTTGCCATCAAATGAGGAGTGGACAGGTGGTGACGAGCTGACTGGGCTGGTTGACCCTTCGGCGCGAGCATTTTCAGACCAAGAACCCTAAGTGCAACGAGGGAGAAAGCGAGGAACCGACTGGGAAGGACAGCAACGAGAACGTGTACGAAGCGGAGCGGGTCGAGTTTGATCGTGCTAGGACTGGCCACAGCGACACCGGAGAAGCGGCACCGGAGCAGCGGCACCGGAGCAGCAGCGGAGGAACCGGAGCAGCAGCGGAACCGGAGCAGCCGGACGGCATCGAACCGTGTCGCACGGACAAACATCTCTTGTGTTGTCAATTATTGTCCGTTTTTTTCCTGAATATAGGTGTTAGGTGTGTGTGATGACGTCACTGGTTTTGTAGAGAGACGCGGCAGAGATGGCGCGGATAACCCGGGTGCCTTAATTGTGTACCTGCATCGTGGAAGACCCCTTCAATGTGGAACGATTCCTAGTCAGTGTCGATGTTTACACTGCTGTGTCTAACACAGATGATCTGGATAGATTCGGGCGATTGTCAAGTGCAATGATGATGGCTTTGGTTGGTTGTTCTTCTTCGTTGTATGTCCACGGACCCATTCTGACAGCACTTCAGACAGCAGCTCCATGCCCCGAGCTTGTTGTGCACCATACACTATGGTGTTATTTTTGTGCAGACAGCACTTCAGACAGCAGTAGTACGCTGTAGTCGACAAACATTCATTTTGGTGAAGTGCGGGACAAGGGGGGCGATGCCGCCTGCTGTAGTCGAATTGTAGTGTGTGGGCATGTAGGTCAGTTGTGAGCACGCAAACGTGCTGCAGGGATTGTAGGTGTACCTCCTTGGGCTTGTGTACCCTTTTCTTGCTAATAGTGTGCGTGTTCTTTAGATCTTCTGATGGCTTTAGCATTTTTGTGACCACGGGCCGAGTCTTTGCTAGATTCTGGGATTAGCAACTGATACGAGTTTAATGTGAAGAAAAACAACAACAACAACAACCCCTCCCGGAGTTTCAGCAGCTTCCACCTGCTGTGGCCGACACGACTCGGCCTGGACTATTCCTTGCCTGTGTCGCCATGGGAACGGCCGGTTGAACAGCGAAAGAGGGTCCTGCGTGCTGCGCGCCACAATCTTTTTTTTTGTGATTTTCTTCGTGAGTGACCATGCGGCTGTTGCTGAATTGCTTCAGTCTTTGTCGCTTTGGGCTGCACGCGTTGCTCGCGTAGGCGTTGCTCGCGTAGTAGGCGATGCGCGTCACCTACTTTTCGCCTGTTGCAACAGCAGCGCAACCGTTGAAGAGACAGACAACAGAAGGCCTTTTTTTTCTGTTGCTGCATATGCATGGGTGGTATGCATCCCACAGCAGTGTAGCGGCATATGTATGCATGTGGTGTGGAATACATCGTATAAGCGTGTTACCTTTTTGGAGTCACTGCGTAGTCAGTCGTAACTTGAGCCATAAGGTAGATGGCAGTACAATCTTATTTCAGAAAGTGAGGTGTGTGGCAACGGACAGTTCCCTCCTTCGTGCAGCGGTGCACATCTATCGCGGACGGACTTGAAACTACTGCTGTAATAGTTCCGTGTACAGCAGTGGTCATGTTCTTTTTTGTTATCACTTCGTCACAGGAGATGAAAGTCCGCAGCGTTCTTTGGTTGTGTTGCTGAGAGCCCACATCGGATACCGCCGTCCGTTACACATGTCTGACAGCCTGCGGTGGGCCAAAGGGACGAGAGTGAGTTGGGTGTCTTGTCGAGAGTGGATCCCTTGTCTGCTCTCCGCTCTCTTCTTTGTTGTCTACCTACAGCAGTACCTGTCTCTTTCTCGCCTCTCGCCGGTTGGTGGGGTCCCAACAACATGGAATTACGTCAACCGCAGGTGGTTTCGCTGCTTGCTCAGTAAGAGCCTACCCGTGCACCCGGCTGCTGCATGGGAAGCGATTTGCGTCACCTGTTTATGTCAAGCGATGGACTTGGGGCCCTACCTGATACTGGCCACGCAGTGCTAAAAGTGACATCTTCCCACGGCCGAGAGCGAGCAACGAACAGGTTGGGTTTTCTAACGCTATATCTTCAGTCTCATCTTTTATTTCTGAAGCTGTAGCTTCAGTCTCATCGTTCGATATCCGTGGGTGGAACTTTCATTCGCATCCCCCACCCCTAGCCCGACCTGGTCTCTAGCCCGACCTGGTCTCAAATGCTGATCTCGGGGTTCAGTGCAATTCTCGTGGCGCCTCAAGTTGTATGGTTTGGTAGGGAGTCACAAACCATGACCCCTCCCCGAGTTTGAGCAGCTTGCCCCTCGTGTGGGCGACACGACTCGGCCTTGACTGTTCCTTGTCTATTTCGCCGTGGGAGCGGCCGGTTGAACAGCGAAAGAGGGTGCTGCGTGTGCTGCGCGCCACAACCTTTCTTTTATTCGTTTGTGATTTAGAGTGACCGTTGTACACATGCGGTGGCTGCTGTTATGCTCAGAATATGCTGCAAAGGTCGTAAGTAAGGTTATCGTCTCTGTCGCTTGGGCTGCACGCCGTGCTCGCGTAGGAGATATGCCTTCCTGATTTTTTTCTCTGTACCGATATCCATGAAGAAAAGGAACGGCACCACGGTCGAAGATACAGACAACAGACGGTCCGCCATAGTTTTTTTTATTTCCTTCCCTGAGTACATGCATGGATGGGTGGTAAAGCATCGTAAGCGTGTTGCTGCCTTACCTTTAGTGTGCTGCGTGGTCGTAATTTGAGCGATAAGGGGTAGATGGCAGCACAATCTTATTTGCGTGGTGAGGTTTGACAACTGGTCGTTCGTGTAACGGTGTGTTGGAATATTTGGCACTACCGTAGCTTCAACATTAGGTAGTCAGTTTGACTAGTTCAAATATTGTCAATGTCGCTATGTCATGTAGGTAAAATTCCGTATGGTCTGTCATACTCGGAATATGGAGACATGGTTGATGTTCTGTGTTTCATATCCAGAAATAATCTGCATAGCCTAGATTTCCAGAAATATGTCAAAGTGCAAGTAGCTCAGACTTGCGTGCTCGGAAATATATATGCATCGGGTAGTTGTCGCAAGTGCCTCTGACTTGTGTGTATGAAAGAATATGTACCGCCGCAAGTAACTCAGACTTGCGTGCTTGAATGAATGAATATTTGTCTGCGCTCAGCAGTCGAATTTGGAAAGTACATTATTAGTTCAATTGTTGAAGCTGTATTCTGTGGTTTGTCGTACGTCAGTGCAAGTAATCACTTGTGCGTGCAAGTACAATACTTGATGTGCATACGTGGCACAAGTTCGAGAGCATGGTGTTGAAGTCATCTTTCCAGAAACGTATCGTAGCTTACCAGTACCGTATTCTGAACACGTGTGATTGGTCGACGTTGTCGGATAGGTGTGATTCCATGATTTCGAGAATGAGCGCGTACTCGCCCCATCCTCTCACTCTGCTTCTCTGGGGGTTCTCCAACCCTCTGCTTCTTTGGGGTTTCTCAACCTCTCTACTTCTCCGGGGTTCACTACCCCTCTGTTTCTCTACATTCTTTCTGGTCTCCACTGATCAAGTAATTACATTTCCACCACACCATCTTCTTCTCCTTCGGACCTTCCTGCGTACTCAGAGCCAAGCCTCTCGTACTAAAGGGTCCAGCGGCACAACAAGTGAGTTGGCACGCCGCGCTGCAGCCGTACAGGACACGTACAGGCTTACACGCAGCACTTGAGTTTTTGCCTTTGACCTGTGACTATAAGATTGCACAATCGGGTGCTCTGCTTATGTAAATCAGTGGTCATTGCTGCATACGCACGTTCTACTTGCGCGACACACTGCGGAGAGAGCACGCACCAACTCAAGAGTAAATTAGGACTACCCTTTTTGACGACAAACAACAACACCTCTTCGAGAGCCGATACGGGTCGTCAACACCCACAAGCCTACATCCCCAAGAGGTTATGAGCCTCGGTTAGCGCTCTGGCACATCGTTCGAGGTCAAGGTCGAGGAAACGAAGATTCGGGACTCGTGACAAGATCTGGAAGCGAGGAATACTTTCTGGATCTACGAGATCTACGACGGAAATCAAGAACACGAGAAATTGGATCGGACTGGCGGAGCTCCAGGATCCAACAAGCAAGTACAAGCCCTCAAGCGCAGCAGCTGGTGTAACATCATGGCAGAGTCCACCGGCAAGCTCACGTCGATCGTCAGAGGCATCCCGAAGTTCGACGGGAATCCAAACAAGTATGAAGATTGGAAGGTCGACATCAAGACCGTTCTGGAATTATCTCGGCGGGACATGTTCGAGATATTGAATGGCGACTCCTCAAGACCGAATGAGATCTATGCGCGGCGAGCCCGTGCATCAGGCACCATGGAAGCCCCGGTGCCCAGCGAGGAAGTCGCTGACGGGGACAGCAGCAAGGCTGTAGGAACTCAAGAAGAATCATCAGCCAGCAGTGCGGCGACTGCTGTTGTGATACCAGGAAGGACTGCGGATCGTGACAGTCCCGGGACAGGATCGCCGGATCTTCAAGCGCGAGATTTGGAACAACCTGGGCCACCTCAGAATCAACGTGAGATTGATGAATGGGAGCAGATCAACGCTCTACTATATAATGTCTTATTCCTGACTACCAGTGGAGACGCAAAGTGTTTTATGCGCACGTACGAGTCGAAGAAAGGAAGGAAGGCAGACGGCCAAGCAGCCTGGCTTGCGCTGGAGAACAAGCATCAGAACAAGTCAACTCACAGGAGGCAACAACTCATGACAAGACTTGCCAACTTCCGAATGGAAGAAGGATCCGATCCGGACACCTTCTTCAGGAACATTGACCAGCTCGCCGAGCAGCTCGAGCTGGTAGGAGAGCATGTTTCGCGGCACAGAAAAATGGACACCATCATGAGGGGGATGCCCAGAGAGTACGAGTCCATCAAGTTCCACGTCATGAGCAATCCAGATTTTACTCTGGAGCAGCTAAAATTCACTATTCAGAACATGCACATGAACGGATATGCAACATCCGGGCGCAGAGGAAGGGGATCAGCCATGGCAGCTGGTCCAGCTAGACGTGACA